GATAGACAAATTGATGTTTTAAAAGATAAAAAGTTATTTTAATCAATTTATATGAAATTTTCTCTTAACAAAATTTCTTTTTTATTTAGAAAACATTATCCAATGCCATGGAATTTTCTTCGAAAAGATTTTAATCTTCGTCTTTTTAATTCATTTCAAAATCTAATTAAACTTCGTCGTTCAAATAAAGATCTTCAAGAAGGACCAATTAATTTCTTTTTTGAAGATGAAAATAATCGAATACTTGCTTATTCTCGTGGTTTAAATTTAATTATTATTACAAATTTTGATCAAAAACCTAAAGTGAAATATATTATTTCAAATCTTCCTCAACAAGGAAAATGGATTGATTATCTTACTAATGAACAAGTTGATGTTGATCAAGTTAATAATTTAACATTGACCTTATTACCATTTCAATCAAGATTATTTATTAAACTTATTTAATAACCACTTTTTCTTTCGTTTTTGTAAAATAAATAAACAGTTGACTAAAGCTACACTCTTTATTTAAAAATTGTATAAAAATGAGATGGAGATATATTTTCCATTTATTTTTTAATGATATTATAGAAGTTTAATAATAACATTTTCATCTCGATGTTGTAATAATAATTCTCCTTTAAATGTTAAATAATGATATTTTCTTGCTCGAAGTAATGTTCCAACTAATTTACTTGAAATATCAACATAAATCTAAAAATAAGAAATAGAAATATATATATTCATCTATTTATTTTTTCGATATACATTAAATAATTGTCCAAATGTTATTTCCATTGTTCCATCAATCGGATTCTTTTTTCCACATTGTCGAATAACATTACATAAATATTTCACTTCTTCAATAGCATCATTAACGTCATGATCAAAATTATGATGACGTACTTTTCGTCCACCAGTAGCTGGTCGAGCATATCTAATATTCGTCTTATTTCTTTCTATCAATAAAATAAAAAATTTTACGTACAATGAATCTTCATTAGTAATAGACCATTCAATTGTTGGTTTGGATAATGCTTCAGCTTTCTCAAGAAATTGTGCAGCTCGATTTGATACTTCACCTTGAGATGCACCTAACAGATGTTTTTGTACAGGAGGGGATTTTTTTATCGTCGTTGTCTTTTCTCTTTCTTCTGACGTTGATTTCCAATGTAAATGAGGAAGTGTATCTCTTATACAAAGATATATATACATATGCTAGTTGGGGTCCTTCACGTGTTCAGTACACGTGTGTTACATAAAGTACTAGAGACATTTTTTATTCATTGTTAATGTTTGTTTTGGGGGACATCAAATATGTCACTAAGAAGTAGACAAGAGAAAAAAAGAAAAGAAAAAAAAACTTATTTATTTTTATCATTTTATCAATTCGTTATTTGAAGGATTATTTCGACGCTCAAAAAGATGTAGATGTGTATATGAACGTTGATACTATTGCATTTTTTTAATAGTTTATCAATATGAAAATTTAAGATAATTTTAACTCTGTATATATTTATTTTGATTAATTATATTGGTAATTTCGAGGTTCTACACCAGTCGAAATGGATAAAAGAGTGACTAAACTAAGAATCATAAATGTATTATATAGACAATACTAAAAGATTTTTTTGGTTAAATAAAAAAAAACGAAAGTCTTTTATACTGTATAAATTTATCGATTATATTCAATGATGTTGATTAGTACCATGACTAGATGATCCACTTCCAGCTTGAACATGAGAACCAGTAGTACCTGAACTTCCTCCATGACCAGATGATCCACCAGTAGTTTGTCCTTGAGATCCGCTATTGGTATTACCTAGAAGAATGGAAATATGAGAAAGATGTATCTTTGTAACAAAAGTATATTTAATCTGAGTTATTTAAAAGAAAATGTCTTTATTCATACTTGTATCATTGGATCCTCCATGTCCTTGAGTATTAGATTCTCCTATATTCTTCGATTGTCCTGTAGTTCCAGCTCCTCCAGTTGAACTTTCTGTAGATGAAGAACTTGAATGTTGAGTTGTGCCATGAGCAGAACTTTTTTGATTATTAGATGAAGACATTTTTAATAGGTAACTGAGATAAGTAAAATGTAATATATGTTCGAAAGAGTGAGAAATGTTCCTTTATATAGTATTGAAAAGACGAGCCTGTTAAACATGATTGTAGTAATGAGAAACGTTGTTTACACTTATTGGAGTGAAAGGGAAAAAGAACATAATACATCGACGAAATTTGTCGGTTATGTTTCATTTGTAGATAATATTATTAAGTACGATTTACTCTTCTAAATAATATTTTTTTTGAGTGAATATTCGATACATTGATTAAAATTCTAATGATGTTTAATGAATGTTTTCAATTAAATTTGTCAATTGAAAAGAAAATATTTATATCGATTTTGATTCTTTAAAAATAAAAATAATTAAAAGACAATTGCGTCTTTCTTTTTGTACTTAAAAGTATTATATTTCTTTGATAAGAATATTAAAAGAAGAACATTGAAAATATATTTCTCGAAAGAAAAATTGATCTGTTTGTATCACTTTGAGAATAAGATATATTTCATTCTAAATCCAACTCTCTTCATTGAAATAAAACGACAAACATAATCTGTACTTAAATAGAATAAAATAAAATATGAAAATAAAGTAAGATCAAGGCAATCAAACCATGTATTGTATAAATTCATAAAAGAAAATACACATTTCAGTGTTACCTATTTTTTATATTAATTATAGGACAGAATAATATTCGAAAAGCTTTAAAAGCTTTTAAAATTATTTAATCAGAATCCTGAACTAAAAATATTTCAAAAATCGAATAAGTAGTATTTCAATTTTTATCACTTAACTTTACTTTACCCAATAAAGCGAAGATAAAGTATTATCTCTGGCTCACCATTGAAAGGATACGGGTAAGTTTATAATAAAAGTTACATGCACGCACATACCCACACTCATATTCTGTATTTTTAAGTACCAGAACAAGATTGAAAGATTTATTTGTTTCTGTTTTCTATCATACATTAAACAGTAAAGCTGTCATTTATTATTTATCTCTTTAACTCTTTTTTTTCTCAAATCATAATAACTACATGGTCAATATTTCCATCTTGATATTACTTTGCATAAGTTATTCCAAGTAGTATTTAAAAAAATTTATGAAAATAGAAATAAGTCATGTACCAATATTGTTTTGTCAGTGTGGGTGTGTCTGAAATATAATATTCAAATCCACACCCACTGATCACTTACACCGTTTTATACGTAGAACCAAGAAACTCATTAATTTAATAGAATAAAAAAATGTGCTTTTATTCAAGTATATAAATAGGTTTCGATAAAATTCTGAAATCACTAGTACAATATTACTGAATTAGAGCCCTGCAGGTTACGCCAGTAGCAGAGCAGGACAGAGGAAAGTAATGAAAATGTTGATAGGGCAGGTTGCAGGGTACAAAGGTTGTAACCTGTCAATCTGCGACAAATTTTGCACAATAAATACTATTGGCATCTTTTATAAAATTATACAAAATATTAAATCCAAATGTTGTAGACGATATGTTAATGATTTGAAATTTTCGAGATATGTGATATTGTTTTTGTTTATTTGTTTACTTTATAATTTGAAATAGCCTGAATAAAATTGTACAACAAATTGATATGAAACTTAAAGATTTTCTTGTAATGTGAAACAGAGAAGGATAGTGTAACAGAAAATCAGTAAAGTATATAAATAATGAATAAATATCTTTTATTGAATAAATAAAAGCAGAATATAATAACAAGTAATAACACAAATGCTTCTGATTCCTTCTTTAATGAGCTTATGGTTCAGACTCTATTCCGTCTTCGAGTCTTCCAATACAATTCAGGCTAATTCTTTAATAATTACGTTGAGTCCAACCTTCAGCTCCAGTGTATGTGTTAAGACTGACTATATCTAATACAGAAAGCAAGAGTAAAAGAAATAGAACAAGCGAAAGATACAGAATACAAGACAGGTAAATGTGATAAAGCAAGGAGGGTTATTGGAAAGAAAATTCATCTATGTACTTGGCACAGATAGGTTAAAGGTTACGAAAATCTTTATAGGGGAGGGTACAGGTTCTGAAAGTGTCTTGCCCAACAGGCCTCTATACTGAATATTGCAATGTTCATTTTCAGGATCAGCCGCAATTCGATAAGAAAACACCGATATTGTCTGCATTATAGTTTCCGACAATGATGTCGAGTTTGCCATCCGTATTGACGTCAGCTACACTCACAGAGTAGGGTTCCGAACTAGCACCAGTTGAATAAGTCACTTGAGCAGCAAACGTACCATTACCCACGTTGAGGAGAACACCGACGTTATCTGCCCAATAGTTTGCAACAACAATGTCAGTATAGCTGTCACCATTAACATCCCCAGCTGATACATAATATGGGTAAGAGCTAGCACCAGTTGAATAGGTAACTTGAGCAACGAACGTACCATTGCCTCTGTTTAAGAGAACACCGACATTGAATGTATTGTAGTTTGCGACAATAATATCGGGTTTGCTATCTGCATTGACATCAACGACGGCCACAGCATTCGGTCCAGAACCAGTGCCAGTTGAATACGTGATTTGGGCACCAAACGTGCCATTGCCTTTGTTGAAGAGGACACCGACGTTGTTTGAAGCGGAGTTTGCGACAATAATATCGGGTTTGCCATCTGCATTGACATCAACGACGGCTACTGAATATGGATGGTCACCAACTGAATATGTTACTTTTGCACCAAACGTGCCATTACCTGTATTAAGAAGAACACTGGTATTATTTGCATTGTAGTTTGCAACAATAATATCGGGTTTATTGTCGCTATTGACGTCAACGACGGCCACCGAACACGGATAAGAACTTGTGCCGATTGAATAGGTGACTTTAGCAGCAAACGTACCATTACCTGTGTTAAGAAGAACACCGATATTGTTCGAAGCGGTGTTTCCAACAATAATGTCGAGTTTGCTGTCCCCATTGATATCGGCGAGTGCCACAGACCACGGGTCAGCGGTAGTACCAATCGGATAGATCACTTGTGCAAAAAACGTGCCATTATCTGCGTTGAGAAACACGCCGACTGTGCCTGTTTTGAAATTTGGGACAATAATGTCGAGCTTGCCGTCTTGATTGACATCGCCGACTGTTACAGGATACGGTCCAGAGCCAACACCAGTCGAATACGTCACTTGTGTCGGAAATCTATTCATGCATGGAGCTATAACGAAAAAAAATTGTTATTAACATCTGCCTGATTAGGAAGAATAACTATATCAGAACTTTTTTTGAGGGTGTGGGTGTCTTCTTCTTCTAGAAACCTACACTCACAACCATACCCACACTCAATAAAAAGGATATCAACATCCAACTTACATATATATGTTTATATTTAATCATTTTTTCTTATCAAAAGTTCTAACAGAAACCACTGGAGAACATAGGTCGAAAAAGCGACTGTCATGGAGGAAACTTATCGTGGATTCATCCAAAACATTTAGGGATAAAACACGTTCTCTTTAGTTATGCATCTAGGTTAGGAAGATCCACTAGGAAAAACTGAAACTTCAAAATTAAGTCATTCGAACAAATAATTGATTAAACACCTATATAAGGCACTACAAATCATCTAACATAATACTGACTAGTGGTTGTTGATGCAGTTGTCGATGTTGTTGTTGTTGACGTTGTTGATGCAGTTGTCGATGTTGTTGTTGTTGACGTTGTTGATGCAGTTGTTGATGTTGTTGTTGACGTTGTTGATACAGTTGTTGATGTTGTTGTTAGTGACGTTGTTGATGCAGTTGTCGATGTTGTTGTTGTTGGTGGTGGTGACGTTGTTGATGTCGAATGCGATGACGCGATCGGTTCTGTTTTGAAAGAATGAAATTAAAATGAGATGAAAAGTATTAGATAAAATATAACTCAAAATTCAACATTTCTCGATCTATTAACAATGTATCTGGTTTTGATGGCATTATGCCAACGTTTAATGGACTCAATTAGATTCTTCTGTCTTTCTTCTTTTAATCACATTTGTATTACAATAATTCAAACGAATAAACTTGCACGTAGTACGACTTTTGCAATGATGCTTTTCAAATCCTGCACGTAGAGTTACATGATATTTCTTTATCAAAATTTGGGTCCAAAATATAGTTTTTACAAATATAGAACTTCAAAAGGAGCCTGTTCAAATCTTTATGATGGGGCAGCGTGAGTATGACGAAAGAAATAATAGAATACGTGCATCCTTATCTACATCCTCAACACCACGGTTTTTTCCGAAAACTTTTCTGGAGATATTCTAATAGTTGAGATGTCACTGATTTTGTTGTATTCTTAATATTACAATATCAACTGAATTATGATAAAATAGGATATATTTATGGAGCAGTGCTTGAATTACCAGTATAGATAGAAAGAAAATTTTCTCGAGGTCTCTACAAATTATTGTAGTGCCGACGCTACTACTTGTGGTATGAGCTAAATAGATGTTTAATTACCCGTTGTTGTATTTTGTG